CTCCAATCCTGATACTACACATTCCTCCTCAGAGCCCAGCCTCTTGGATGATCTGTGCAGCATATAGATTGAAAAGCTACTATTATTGAACTTTTTATGCAGTGATTCAATAGTTAAATCCTTACCAAATAGGGAAAATACAGAATTTCAAATTTTTAGGAACCTCAGAATTTCTGGAGTAATGGATGATGGAAAAGTCCTTTACTTTTTTCCATAAAGGTTTTGACAGTTCTCTGAACAGTTTTTAGACATACTGTTGATGGATAGTGAATTCTTTATAATACGTGAAAAATTCTATTTCCATTATGGTTGTTCATTTGCATTTTATTTTTTGCCTTAGAAAATCTTGAAACTTAACCTTTCAAGCAGAAATATCCTCTAATGCTTTATAATTGCTACTAAGGAACTTGTTAGTGCATAAAGAAGAGGAAAAAAAACCTTTCATACATAGTTCCTTTTGTGCTAATCGAAGTAAGATTACAATAGAAATTTGTTTTATAATAATACACATATGCATATATGACTGACACGTTCAAAGAACAAATGGAACTCTGCTATCATTCAAGAATAGGAAGAGGTCTGGTCCATAGCTTGTTCCTTGGTAAACTGCTGCTGCTCCTAGGAGAAAAATGGGTAGTGTCTTTCCATTAAGATTTTTCAGCCTTGGGAAGGCAGTGGAAAATCACTTTGAATTGGAATTTGCTTGACAGCAATAAGTGTTTGTGTTTTATTCATAAATGTTATAGTCCAACTTTTATTTATCTAATCATGTCAGATCATTTATGAAAGAGGTAGGAAAATTAATTATAAACTGTATATGGAAAGGAATGAAACCTCAAATAAGCAAATCACTACTAAAAAGGTGGGGGGAGTTAGGAAATCTTATACTTCTTGATCTCAAAACCAACTGTACATCCACAATAATTGAAAGCGTGGCAGATTCATAGGCTTCAGCATAGGCTTAGCCTCAAAATCAGTCCATTGGAGGAGAAGCAGTCTTTATAGAGTTTAAATCCATCAAACATGGCAGGACATCCTCTTTAACAAATGGTGCAGACAAAATGAGTATCTTATTTGTAGAAGACTGAAACATGATTTATACTTCAAGTCGTATAAAAAAAACTAAGCCAAAATGGATCTAAAACCTCAACTTAAAAATCAAAACCTTAATCGTCAAAGAAAAAAATAGTTTAAACTTAGGAACCCTAATCAGTGGCATAGTTTATCACATATAACTGAAATCACATAAACACTTTCTCCAAAAAAGTGAACTTAGACTGGGGGGGGGGGCAGGTGTGGCAAAGAACTTAAAATGGCCTAAAATAATATATCAACTAGTAAAGATAATGCAGTCACAAAATCATCAGAACATACTAAAAGACACTTCGCCAAAGGAGACATTTATTCAGATGGTCGAACAAAATCATGAAATAAATGTTCAATATTCTCTCCACCACAGTCAGCACCCATGGAAGCAATAGTTAAGAAATTGGGCAAATCTGTTACCAAGGACTTCTTTGAAGTGCTGCTAAAGAACAAGATGTCACTTAGATGTTCTTAACCCAACTGATACTATTATCAGTTGCTTCATTTGCTGTCAGAGTTGCTCAGTGAGTAAGGAAGATTAAAGAACAATGCCTTTTATTGTGGTGTAGTTATTATTATGTTGGTGAAAAATACAGAGTATGTAATGGGCTACAAAAGAAAAAAAAAACAAACCTATATTGGAAGGAATTTAGCCATCATGCTCTTTAAAAGCAGAAATCATTCGGTGTCATTTGAGCATGTTAGCAGGAAGAATCAGTCCCTGGAGAAGGACATCATTCTTGGAAAAGTACAATGTTAGTGAAGAGAGAAAGACCTTCAGTGAAATGGGTTGACATAGTGACTATAATAGTGAACTTAAACACAGCAGACTTAGGATGGTACAGCATTTTGTTCTGGGTTTTTTATACATAGGGTCATTATGTAGCACTAGCTCAACCGAATATCAAGATATTTGCCAATTTAAAATTTTTTAATGGACAATTTGAAGACATTGATTTGTATTATACATCTATTAACATTGTCATCATTGAGTAAATTCCAAAGTATAGTGACTGTAGAACAGAGTAGCACTGACTGAACAGGGTTTACAAGACTGTCATCTTTATAAAAGGCACCTCCCACAGCTTGCTTCCATGAAGTGACTGGTGTTATCCACTAATAAACTTTGACCTCTTACACATTTCCTTGTTGTAGATAATTTTATATGAGTGAAAACCTACAGTATTTATAATTTTGTTACCTCCTTGGCATAAAATTTTTGCACTGTATCCATGTTGTAGGGTTTTAGATCTTGCTAACATTTGGTTGTATGTGTATACCACATTTTGTTTATCCATTTTTTTATGGACTTTTAGTTTACTTCTGCTTTTTGGCTTATTAGAAAATAGTTCTGCAGTGAACATGCTCAGAAGGCTTCTGGAGTGTGTTTTTTTTGTTTTTGTTCCTGCTTTCAATATTTTTTAATAATATTTTTTAGGATTAAGATCATTCAGTTATATGTTAGTTACCATTGTGCAGTCCCATCAGTAGTGGGTAAAGATTTCCAATTTTTAACATCTTAGTCAACACTTATTTTATTTATTCATTTATTGTAGTAATTCTAGGGGCATAGTCCATATAGAATGACTCTGTTTTCGCAGTGCCTCTGCCCCTGCAGTATTTCAGATCCATCTCCCATGCGATTTACAATCTCAGAAACTCAGTGGAGTGTCAGGTGGGTTTGGGTTCCAATTCCAAGGCATTAAGTTTTTTGTTAGCGACCCAGTCTAGTGACTGTGATGAATTGGTTTCTCATTGTGTGGTTCATATGAGGAGGGCACAATATTAAGCAGAGTTTTGGTAGATTGTATATAAGGGCAGTTGGAGTGGGGCCTGATTTGACAGCATCTAACCAGGGTAACAATTAATTGTCACACATAGGTTAAGATTTTGGCACAGTAGTTAAGAATTTCAAACCCACTACTCACTCAGCAAAGGAGCAAGCTCTGATGGCCTAGTGATAAGAGACTGCATTGGTTGGAATCGACCTTCTGCTTCATGGGAGAAGGATGGACAGTCCCATCCCATGTGATTTATTGTGTCTGAAAACCTACTGGAGGGTCAGCTGTGGGTTGATTCAGACTCCATGATACAAAATAGCAGCATTTAACTCCACAGATGGAAAAAGTGGCTGTCTTCTTACATAAAGATTGTTCTTGTTGTTGTTGTAGTTATGTATCGTCGAGTTGCTTGCGACTCATAGCAACCCTATGTACAACAGCCCTAAACCCTGCTCTATCCTGTGCCACTCACACTGCCACTGACACACGCATCCCGATTACCCCAGTCACTGACTCAATCCACCTCTTAGAGGGTCTTCCTCTCTTACGCTGTCCCTCCACCCTCCCAAACATGATGTCCCTCTCCAAGGACCTGTCCCTCCTTACAACATGTCCAAAGTATGTCGAATGAAGCCCCAGAATCCTTGCCTCCAAGAAGCAGCCTGGTTTAACCCTCTCCAGGATGAATTTGTTTGTTTTCTTAGTAGTCCATGGTACATTGAATACTCTTCTCCAGCCCCACAGCTCAAAGGCATCAATTCTCCTGTCTTTCCTAGTCATTGTCCAACTCTCTAATGATCCAACAAGTGATTGCAAAGACCGTGGCCTGTATCTGGTGCACCGTAATCTCCAAAGTGACACCATTGCTCTTCAGTACTTTGGAAAGGTCCCTAGCAGCAGACTTTGCCATCGCAATACGTTGTGGTGTGTTTTTTTTTATTTCCTGGGTACTTGTGCTAAGAGTGTTGACCGTGATGCTGCTAATTGGTCCAGTGGTGAGAATCTTT